GGGGGGGGGGGGGGGGGACAGGCAGAAGCACATGGAGAGAGGCCCCGAGGGAAAGGGGTTTAACACATCATCCCTCCCAGCACCCGGGGCTGCCCTCGGGCTCCTCCGCACAGCCCTGCAAGCCTGACCTCTTCCCACTGCTCTGCACTCCTCTCAGGAGGTGCTGCCCTCCGGCCTCCCCCACCGGCCTCCCGCCTCCCCCACCGCCCTCCTGCCTTCCCCACCGGCCTCCGGCCTCACCCACCGGCCTCCAGCCTCACCCATCGCCCTCCGGCCTCACCCACCAGCCTCCGACCGTGCTGCTCTCCTCCCCAACCTGCCCAGCTCTCCCTGCTTAGGACCCTTGTCCCTTCACCCCTGATCTTTGCCTCCTCACCACTGAGGCCTCCCTGAACCCCCCCCACACACACACATACTGATCCCAGGTCCCTTAGCAGGGTGGGCCTGGCATTTGAGGTGGGAGTCTCTGGAGGGCCTATGGCCCCTGGGGCTGGAAGCTGGAGTAGCCCCCCTCACTGAGACAACCAAAGCGCCTCCCACATTCCCAGCGCTCACTCTGTTGCTTTCTTCATTGCTCGGAACGGTAACTGCAGTTGTCTTTTCTGTCTCTTTCTTATCTCCCGCCCCCTCACTACGCCATACCATGCAGCAGCCGCCTTGTCTTAGCTAGGAACAGGACTGCACACAGTGGGCAAGCCCTCCTAGGTCGCTAACAGCTTCTCCCCATTTGCCAGGTGAGAACGTGGAGTCAGAGAGAGATACGAGGATATAACATCACACAGGATCAGAAACCCAGGGCTCCTCTCCTCTCCGCCAGCCCCACGTGGGGTGAATGAATGGAGCTCTTACCACCCCCACGTGCTGCAGGTAACTGAGTGGTGGAGGCTGGGGGTGGGCGTCTGGGGAGCTTTCCCTAGTTTTTCAATCTTTTTTAAAAAAATTTTCATTGATTTCAGAGAGGAAGGGAGGGAGAGACACATCAATGATGGGAGAATCACTGACTGGCTGCCTCCTGCACACCCCCTACTGGGGATAGAGCCGGCAGCCCAGGCATGTGCCAATCAAACGGTGACCTCCTGGTTTATAGGTCGATGCTCACCACTGAACCACACCAGCCGGGCAGTGTTTCCATATTGAATCATGGCCTTTAAGGCTGAAACCCTTCTCCCCTCTACCCTGGGACCTAACAGACCAGGCCACAGCACTGGGTGGTCTCCCAGGCCCTGGGTAGTCCCCCAGGCACTCTGCAAGTCCACATGATCCCTCTAGGGCTGGGACCCTGGCAGCCCTCTTCTCCCCGCCATGGGCACATGGGGATCAGAGCACGTGGGGATGTGGGTGCAGATTGAAGGTGAACAATGTCAGGCCCCCGCACCTGGCCTCAGCCAGTCAGTGTGGGTGACAGAGACGGAGGGGCAGGAAGGGCTGCAGGCTGACAGGTGGGTGTGAATCCTCCGTCGAGGGCTACGGGCTAGTTCACGGGGAAAATGGGGAGGCGTCAGACTGTCTGGGTCCAAATCCTCCTCTGCCTGAATCACCAGCCTCTGCCTGGTCGCGTTCACCCGTGAAACAGGAGGCTCGTGGTGCCTGCACCTCGGGCCTGACTGCAGATGCCAGGGGCCTGACTGTGACGAGAAGCCACACTGAGATGCGTAAGTTCTACCCCCTCGAGTCAGACTGAGTATCTGAGCCAGTCAGGGGGTCAGGGGAGGGAGGAAGTGAAGACAGCCTGGAGGTAAGGAGAGATTTTGTAGCAGCTCACCCCATGTCTAACCACAAAGCCCATCCCAGCCAACACGAAGCAGAGAGAGAAGAGGGGCGAGACATCTGGGCACCGGGGAGATGGGAGGCGCAGGGTCCCGCTCCGTGGGCCGCAGACTTGGGCGGGTACGACAGCCCTTTGGAGCTTACTAACCAGGAATATTCCTGGGCAGTGGCCCCCCTGGGGGATTCCGTGGGTCTGGGGAGGGTCCGAGAAGCTGCCACGTGTACAAGCAGCTCAGCCGAGCGGGGGGTGCGGGGTCCTGGCCGCCCTGAGAGAAGGGATGCTCTAAAGAGAAGAGCGTGGGCTCGGGCGGTGGGAGACACGGATTCCACTCCACCACCCGTGTGACCTGCCGGTGGCACCCGGGAAATCCCTGAGCCGTCGGGCCTCAGCTTCACGTAAAACGAGAACGGTATCAGTGAACGCTGCAGGCTGCCAGGAGGATCAGAGCAGGTAGCGCCCTTGAGAAGGCTTTGGCCTGGCCAAGAATTCTCCACAACGGCCACATCTGCCTGTTCCCCAGCACCCAGTGAGGTGCCCGGGCCCTGGCAGGTGTCTGGAAATGAGCTACTCAGGTCAGCATTTCTAAGCTCCTATTCATCCAACGATTTCCTTGCCCTCTAGGAACTCACAGTGGGAGAGGCAAATTTTAAGTGACAAAGCAGTATGACAGGTGCTGTACCCATGGTTAGCCCTGGGGTGATGGGAACAGAGAGAGGAGGCCAATCTACCCAGGAACTCGGGCTTCACAGTAAATGTGTATTGAACGTCGGGTGTGTGAGCCAGTGGCACAACCTCTGTGTGATGCACTGTACAGGGAGGGGCAGAGGGCAGACCTCAGCCACCCCCTGCCCCCCGCCCTGTGAGGAAGAGGAGGGAGTGGGAAGGGGCTGGCTGAGAGGAGACGAGTCAGGAGCCCTGGTTTTCTGATCCTGAGTGGTGTTAAGTCCTCTGTGACTCAGTTTTCTCATCTGGCAAATGGGGAGAAACTATTACCTGTCTAACTGACTCACGCATTCCTACTGGAGACAAATGAGATAAAAAGGGCTTTCTGTGACTGGCTGAACGATGGCCGGCCACTGCCTGGGGCTGGTCGTCAGGGACACTTACGTGCTGACTGCTTAAACCCCTTGGCAGAGTGGACGATGACATGAAGGAAGCCATAGAGCCCTGGAGACTCGTCGTCTGCAAGAGAGAAAAGCCCCAGGGTCAGGGGTGGTGAGAGGCTCCTCTGTTTCATCCCGTCCTCACCCCAGACTGGCTGGGAGGCGGAAAGGGTGGGAGATGCAGCCTAAGCCCAGGGCTGAGAGCACCCCCTGGTGGCCGGATGAAGAAGCTTCCATTCCTCACTACTTCCAGGACCCTGAGCTGGGGGTGCCCCTTCTCCCTCTACTCGGCCTGGGAGGCCAGTCCACACATTCCCTGGGGGCACCTTCCCTCTCCCTCCAAGTCCTGCTACCCTGTGACCGCCCTTCTCAGCCTCGCCTTTCAAAGTAAAAATTAACCAACATAAGTCACCCTGTGCCAATGCGAGAGAAGGTCCATCTCTGCCTCCTCGCTGGAACACAGGGGCAGATACCCCCATAGGTGGAGGACAGCCTGCCTTCAAAACCCCTTTCCAGCACCCACGGGCAGTCAGATCCTACCCACCCCAGGCAGTGACCAGCCCCGATCTCAGGTCTGCTCAAAAACCTCCCACAGGCTCCTGGGCTTGAACAACAAATTCCCTTGCTTGGCATTCAAGGCCTTTCAAGAGCTAATCTCTGGAAACTTCTGGCTTATTTGTTATACACTATTCTAAGCCACCTCCATTTCCTCCTGTCCCCACTCCCCACCCATGCTTGTCTTTTGCTTCCATTATCTGACGACCAGTGTCCCAGAATCTTCTCTTAAGCCAGAGGGGGGTGGGGGTGGGGCAGGGAGGAGTTGGGGCCATCTGGGAAGAGACAACCCCTGTTTGAGCTTCCTGTGCTCCTGGCCACAGAGTCGTCCCAGCCCACCTGAGCAGGGATCAGCCATTTGTAGCCGAGTGTCTGTGGGTCCTTGTGCACAGCCCCAGCACTATCCTGGGGGAGTAGATCTGCTGATTGGGCAATGTTGGGTTCCAGATCTTACCATCTTTATTGCTGGTGACAGGAATGTTGTGTACAGTCCTAAGTTTGAAACAGGATCCTGTGAGCACCTGGAGCTCCACTGAGCTCAGGACAAAGGCCTGGAGATCTGCAGGAGGAGAGGGAGGGAGGGAGAGAGGGAGGAACATCGTCATGGGTCCACTAGGACCTGCTGCTCTCTTTGGGGGCTGTTGCAGGGAAAAACCTTAATTCTAGGGGCAGAGTTGGTCATTGGGAAAAAAAGGAAAGACTGTGAACCCTCACAGGGGAATAGTTGTGGATGCTGCCAGGGGGGTAAGAACAGGAGAGTCTAACTGCAGAGGTTCATGTATGTGTGTATGGGAGAGGGATGGGGACAGGGAGGGTGGCGGGGCAATCCTCGACTCTGGGGCGACTCCTATTGCTAATTCATTCTATGCCTTAAGCCAGTGGTTCTCAACCTTCCTAATGCCGCGACCCTTTAATACAGTTCCTCATGTTGTGGTGACCCCCAGCCATAAACTTATTTTCGCTGCTACTTCATAACTGTAATTTTGCTACTGTTATGAATCGTCATGTAAATATCTGATATGCAGGATGTATTTTCATTGTTACAAATGGAACATAATTAAAGCGTAGTGATTAATCACAAAAACAGTATGTAATTATATACGTGTTTTCCGATGGTCTTAGGCGACCCCTGTGAAAGGGTCATTCAACCCCCAGAGGGGTCGCGACCCACAGGTTGAGAACCGCTGCCTTAAACAAATCACCAATTCTTTGGGCCTCAGTTGTTCAGAAACATCAGTGAAGTGCCACCTGCCTTGGCACTTTGGAGTGGCTGTGAGGGCTGAAGGGGAGGCATGGGACTGGAGGTGCTGGGGAATACAAACGGCCCACGGTTGCCATGGACCCCTCGGGGCAGAGTGGGTGGGACGTTACCCTTCTTCTGCAGTTTCTGAATCGCTTCTCTCCACTCTGACCTTTCATAGTCCGAGGACAGTAGGAACAGGTAGCTCTGAAGAGAGGAGATGACAACTCAGTGGGCGGCCATGGTCAGACACGCACGTTCTTGTAGCCCAGGGCTCCAGCGAAGCTCCCTCTTACCCAGGGACCCCCAGGCTTGGAGGGGGCAGCTGGGAGGGGCCTCCTTCCTGGGCAGCCCAGTGACAGAAGTGGCAGTGCCAATGATGGCCAGCAGAGGGCACTAGCTCCACACCACTGGGGAGAGGGAGTCCAGGGCCGGAGCCTGGCAGCCTCCTTGAGAATTGGGGGCTGAAGTCCCTGATCCCCACAGGTCAGGGCTGGGAGCCACAGTGGGCAGCCCTGTAGGGAGGAAGGGGCTGTCTCTGTCCCATCCCCACCCTTCCTGACCTTTCCGTTCCGATTGTGGATCCGAAATGGGATGGTGGGGGAATTGAGCAGCAGCAAGAACTCGTTTTCAAACATCTTCTTCTTCAGGCGCTCGATGGCCCGGCTCTGGCCCTTGTTGGCTTTCTGCGGGGACGGGGGCAGAGATGGTTCCCCTCACACTCAGACTCCATGTCTCACTCAGCGGCTCTAGCACCCCTCCCCCATGTGTGTTCATCAGATTATTTTTTCTTTTTCAATACTTTATGATGCTTTGACATCACGGGAGGATTCCTGGCCACGGAGAAAACTGTTCCTCCCGGATCATGCTAATTCCTAACACAGTCAATGACTCCTCTGTGAGCATATCTTTCAAATGCAAACCAGCTAACCCTGAGGCCTACCCCCAACCACCTCCTCTCTCTCTCTCTCCTTTTTAAAAAATAAAACATGTTTTCATTGATTTCAAACAGAGGAAGGGAGGGAGAGAAACATCAATGATGAGAACCATTGACTGGCTGCCTCCTGTGTGCCCCCTACTGGGGAATCGAGCCACAACCTGGGCATGTGCCCTGACCAGGAATCGAACCATGACCTCCTGGTTCATGGGTCAACATTCAACCACTGAGCCACACTAGCTGGGCTCATGTATCTCTCACATGTCATTCCCCTGCCCGCATCACGTAGGACCAGGTGCCAGATAACTAGGGGCAGCTCCTACAGCCCAGCGCCTCCAACATTATCCACACTAGCCAGGCCTAGGCTGTTTCCTGCCCGGCCTTCCTTCCCCTCGGGAAGCTCAACACAGGCTTTGGGCCACGTTTTTTCACGCTCCTTCTGCCTCCTGACCAAACCTGGTGCTTTCCCACGAGGCCCTGGTGTTGTGGCCTCTCTCATGGACACTGTAATTAATAAAGATCGTCCTTCCGTCGCATTAGCCTCTTCATTCACCCTATAAATTAAACCGCAGGTACCACCAAGGTACGCTGCATCGAAACCTCAGACGCCGTTCAGCACAAAGCCCTAATTCCTGGCTTCTGCACGGGGCCTGCCAGGGCTGGGTCCCCACCTCCATGCCCTGCCTGATATCCCACAACGCCCCACCCTGCACCCTCCACCTCAGCCTCAGGGTGCTGTTCCCTGTTCCCTGGCGAGCCATTTCCTCTAGTCGACCCCTTCCCTTTATTAACTACCCTTATGCTTAAGTCTTGCTTTCAGTGCCATCCTCAAACTCCACAGTTGAAATTTGTTTCTGCAGCATTTTTTTTTACCCACTAGACTAGCAAAACGGCAACAAGGCTCCCAGCCAGTGTTGTCACCGTGACTCTCACATGCTGTTGGTGGGAACATAATCGGATGCGACCTGCTCAGAGGTACAACGGGCCATCAAATGCACAAGCCCCTTGCCCCAGACATCGCCCTTGCAGGGGCTCTACCAGAGAGAAGAAACAGGAGTGTGGTGATGCTTACTGCAGACTTGCCTGCAAAGAATCAAGAGCCAGAAACACTCTAAATACCCAAATACGTGGTTATGCAATCAAGCAACAGAATAGGATGCAGCTGTTAGGAAGGCCGTGACAGGCCCAGAGAGCTCTAAGGTGCACTGTTAGGTGAAACACTTACATGGCAAAACAGCACCTGTACCCTAGTCTCATTACAATACACACAGGCGTGCTGTGCATGCCAGCATAAGCACAGACTAGCAGAATGCACCTCAAATTGCTAACAATGGGGCTGGGCGATGATCAGTGGTATTCTACACACTCTGGTATTGTGACCTGTCCCTGTAAGAAGCCAGGGTTGCCTAAGTTCAAAACATGTTATTAAAGAAGTAAATATTTTGCCCTGGGCGGTGTGGCTCAGTTGGTTGACCATCGTCCCATTCACTGAGAGGTTGCGGGTTCGATTTCCAGTCAGGGCACATGCCCGAGCTGCAGGCTTAATCCCCAGTAGGGGGTATGCAGGAGGCAGCCAATTGATGTTTCTCTCACACTCTCTCTCTCTCTAAAAATAAATAAAAACACATTTTTTTAAAAAGTAAATCTGTTTTTTCTGTGACTCAGAGAACGACTTTGTTGTGCCTCGCCACTGACTCCTATCACGTGTGTCACATGAGGTCATGATGGGCGTATCCATCTCCTCCTCTGTGAGGAACGCTGGGCGGCGTCTGGCACAGCCCTGCAGCCAGCAGCCAGCGGAGCTCAGGCAGCACTGACTGAGCAGAAGGCCACACCTACACACCTGGGGCAGGAGCGCAGGCACAAAGCCTGCTGGCTCCCAGGACCAGGTGAGGAACAGGCCGGCCTGCAGGATGCCCCTGGGTGGGGATGGTGGGCAGTGCAAGACGGAAACAGGCTCCACTGAGGCGGTCGAGCCTGGCCATTCAGAGGGAGGACACGTGTGCTGGTCAGGCTGCTCCCTCTGGATGGATGCTCCCCGGTCAGACCCTCAGTCCCAGTGCCCCTGGGGCTTCTCCCCTGTTCAAGGAGAGGTGTCTGAGCTGAAAGGACCCTCAGAGGCCATCTGCTCTGTATTCCCCAACAATCCTTCAGGAAGCAACGATTTATGAGGTGTCAAGGACTAGGAACATAACTGAATTAAGAGAGTCTCTCGCTAGAATTCAAAGCCTACTGAGTGAGGGAAAGCAGTACCTATAAAGCAAAGCAAAGAGGCAAACATCAGGAACCAGGAAGTCAGGCACCCAACCCAAACTGCAGTGGGTGGCTATCAGGGAAGGCTCCCCGGAGGAGGTGAGGCCCCAGCAGAGCCTGGATGGGTGAGGAAGAGACCAGGCCAACCAAACAAGCCCCTCCATGCCCCGCCTGCCATTTATGGGGAAGTCTCCTCCTGGGTGCTTTCAAATACACGAATTTAAGGCTGCATTTTCCTGAAAATAGCCCTGTGGCTACATCCATGGGTTCTGACATGTGGTGCGCTCATGTTCCTGCAGTTCTAAACAATCTGCAGTTGCAATTTTGATTTCCTCTGTACCCTGAGAGTTTTAGCTTTCTAGGCTTACCCTTAAATACATTCTAATTGTTGATTTCTAGTTTTACTGCACTGTGATCTGTGAACATAACTGGTATGCTACCAATTTTTTTATTTTTTATTGACATTTCTGTCTCAGCAATCTCCTCCAATCTGGGACAGTTTCTCACCTTTTTTTTTTTCTTGCATGGCCTTGACATTTTTTGAAGATTCTGGCCAGTTATTCTGTATTTTGAATTTTTCTAACACATCCTTGTGATTTAATTCATGCATTTTTTCAAGAATACTACAGCCCAGCCAGTGAATGAGTTTGCCGACCACTGACCTATGAATCCGGAGGTCATGGTTTGATTCTCAGCCAGGGCACAGGCTGTGTTGTGGGCTCGATCCCCAGTGTGGGGGGTGTAGGAGGCAGCCAATCCATGATTCTCTCTCATCATAGGTGTTTCTCTCTCTCTCTCCCGCTCCCTCCTTTCCTCTCTGAAATCAATAACAATACATTTTAAAAAGTTAAAATAAAAATTGAGATTTCACTTGCAGCCTAATACATGTTAAGTGTTTGTGAACGTTTCCACTGTGTTTGGCAAGAATCTCAATTCTCTGTCAGGGCGCAAGCTTCTGTGCATTTTTAGACCAAGTGCGTGAACTGATATTCAAGGCCCTTCGCTCCTTCGTTTTCGCCTCCTTGATCTGTCAGTTTCTGAGGCTTCCCAGGTCCTTTCTTTCGTACACGTCCTGCTTTCCCTTAAGGCGGCCTTCTCCTCTTGCTTCCCTTTTCTAGTGTTTGATACACACTGTTCTCTGGGAAATTTCCCGTAATTAGCCCCACTAAATTCTGAGCGCTGACTCCTTGGCGGCCGGCCTCCACCTGCTCAGTGCTCATCTGCCACCATCAAAGTCCTTCCCTAAGCATTGTGCTTGAGGCCTCCTACTCTTTCATCTTCCCTCCTTATCAGGCTCCCAACCCTTACAACTTCCCCTGCTCGCACCTCTCCTCGCACACCCAGTTCAAAGGGCCCCCAATAAAAACAGCCAACTTCCTGTCCCAGCTCAGACCCAGGCTCTCTGCTCACCTCCTTCTGGATCTCACTCTTGAGGGCGGAGATCTTCATCTTCATGTCCTCCAGCTCGTGGTCTGGGAAGGGGTGCACGTGGGGACTGGCCTCCGACTCCTCGGGGGACGGAAACACGAGGTCGGCCAGAGGGATGTACCATTTGCAGTCATATTGCTGGTGTTTCCTGCACACAAGCCGGAGGAAGGCATGAGCCAGAAGGAACTTGGCTCTTTGAGCCTGAACGGCTGGACCCAAAAACCTCCGAGAAACGTTTGCCGAGAACTCGTCACAGGCAAAAGCGATCCATTGTCCCCAAGGAGCCCAATCAGGAACCACGCACGGGGAGGAGGAACAGGCTTCCGGGGCAGGCAGCATCCCAAACCTCACACAACTATTGCCCGCTCCACACTCCCCCCTCCCTGACAGCCTGTGTGTACTTAGCTCACACTCACTACCCTTTAGGCTAGAGATGGAATATCAATGTTATTCTGAATGCCCACTCTGATCCATAGAGGTCCCAGGGGGTACCAGGTGGAGGATTATAAAGCCACGCTCAAGCCCGGTGTGCAACAGTGCACTGGCTCACTAGTAATGTCCGCCACGGGCAAAGGGCTGAAGGCATTTGTGTGTTTGCCCAGGACGGCCATCTCTGCTTTAGAGTAATCTCAGGTCTCGTGCCAGGGAGTCAGCCCCTTAACTGAAGCTCATGACAACCTCTCCTCCTCTCACCCACCCCAGAGCTGAGGTTTGCACCTCTCATCCTGGTCCCTTAGTGTTGCTCACTGTCTAGCCCGTTGACTGACTGTGAGGGAGCGTACTCAGCACACAGTAGGGGAAAGACGGTGGGGTGAATACTGAACAACCTTCTCTGCTTGTGGCGCAGAGGGGACCCATCTCACTAGGTACAGAGATGGAGGTAAGGTGGACACAGGCTTCCAGGCTGGAGTGAGGTTCAAATCCCATCTCCTCCACTCGCAGGTGTGCGACCTTGGGCAGCTTCTGTAACTACCCTGAGTCTTTTCTGTCCGTGAGATGCGGACAATAATACCTACTGTATAGAGTTGTTGGGACGATGAGAAATAATATATTCAAAGCATTTGTCATGACACCTGGCGGGGCAGAACCACTCCACAAAAATGACAGCAGCGGATTGAATGACTATTCACTGACTCGTAGTTAGCAAAAATGTAGAGCTGTCCGCTAAAAGAAGAATGCTGAAGGAAATCACGGCATATCCACTCGTAACATCACGCAGGAAAGTGAGACGATGATTACGGAGATTAGGCAGCCACAGGGAAAATGCTTATGACGTGAAATGGAGAACGCAGAGCCCCAAATTGGGTATTCACTCTGATTACAAGTATATGAAAAAACATAAGGACATTAAAAAAAACAAAACCGAAAGGAAATACAGCAGCAGGAGACTGATGCTTATGTTCGGATGGGTGATGGGTTTTTTTGTCTGTAATCTGGTTATATTATCTTTACAATTAAAAACAATTTATTTTTAGAAAAAGGCTATGCAGTAAAATGGAATTAATTAATATGTTTTTAAAAGGAAAAACTATGTAGATTGCCCCAGCTTGTTAAAGGAGTTCTACAGGGGGCAGCAGGATGGGTCTAGTTCAGTGATGACACGCGAACTCATTTTTTTGGTTGATTTTTCTTTGTTAAATGGCACTTAAATATATAAAATAGCAAAACTATAAGTCTTTGTTTTACTACGGTTGCAAAGATCAAAAAATTTCTCTATGTGACACGGCACCAGAGTTAAGTTAGGGTTTTTCAAAATGCTGACACGCCGGGCTCAAAAGGTTCGCCATCACTGGTCCAGTTCCTCCCCAGCTTCGCACCCTGGCCTCACAGACTCACCCCGCAGACGTCTTCTTTAGCTTGGCGCACAGTAGGACGTCTGTGAAGAGGAAGACGTGCCGCAGCTTCCGGGAGCCCTCCGACACCTCCACCAGGAAGCCGTCCTTCACCAGCTGCCGTGTCTGAGGGAAATGCACACCCGCCCGCCTGCTCAGGGGGGGTCAGCCCAGGGCCCAGCAGGCACTAGGGGCGCCATCCAGCAGGGGGCAGGCGGGGGCTGCAGGGAGGGGCCGCAGTGCCTGGTGGTCACATGGGCATGGCTTGAATCTAGACTCTGCCACTTCCCAGCTGAGATCTCGGGCGAGTCCCCTGACCTCTCTTAATGTCAGTTAAGCCGAGGGATGATGATGTCAGCCCATAAGGAAGGAATCATCAAAACCGGTTTATGCAAAATGGCCCCAGTGCCCAGCACATTCTGTGGATCAACAATGGTGGCTTTAGCCCTAGCCGGTTTGACTCAGTGGACAGAGCATCGGCCTGCGGACCGAAGGGTCCTGAGTTCGATTCTGGTCAAGGGCATGCACCTTGGTTTCAGGCTCCTTCCCGGCCCAGGGCCTGGTTGGGGCACGTGCAGGAGGCAACCAATCGATGTTTCTCTCACATCGGTATTTCTCTGTGTCTTTCCCTCTCTCCCATTCTTTCTAAAAATCAATGGAAAAACATCCTTGGGTGAGGATTAGAAAATGAAACGAAACCATGGCACCTTTACACTTTTCCACAGCTCTCAATAGCTCCCACCCAGATGGACCCGAGCTCCAGTGACCTAGTTCCTCTACCCTGGAGCATGAACACCCCCACCCCCACCCCACAACCCTAAGAGGTCGTTCTAGCTTCAGTCCAACTCGACCTGCAGACCCTCTCAGGGCTGCTGCTGCTACTACCTCTGAGTCCATTCTTCACCCGCCCTGGATGGATGGGCGGCCTGGCCACCCTCTGTGGGGCTGCAGCCGTGTCCTCGGGAACCTGCGGCCACCTCCCACCTGGGCGCTGACGGTCAAGAGCAGGGCTCCCGGTTTCCTCCCTGCCACCCTCAGGAACACAGAATCCTGGGGCTGTCCCCATCTGTCCCCGCCTTCCGTCGGCTGTACACCACGTGAGCTACCCGTGCTACCACATGAGGTGAGCCTGTGGAAGGACACCCTCGGGACGATCTGACCCTGCCCGTGCTGTGAGCCCTCCGCAGAGCTTTCCCTCCCCGAGTCAAACAAGCCAGTGCTGCTCCCGGGTTTGCAAACCAGGGCTGGGAGCTGTGCACGGGACAGCCATTAGTCACTCTCTAGATCCTGTCCCTTCCCCCTCCCTCCCTCCCCAGGAGACACTGGGGACTCGTAAATGTAACAAAGGAGCATAAACCCAGCCAGCCTGCACTCCTAACACCACTTCATTACCTCCTGCACGGAAGGCTGTATGTGGGCCAGGCTGCTGACCCGTGCGGTACCTGTCTCTGATGCTTCAGATTGCTTCCCTCCACTCCCCTCCCACCCCCGCCATCCTTCTGCCAAGAAGGGCCCCAGGGAACCGGAACTGCTGTGCCACTCTAGGTGCCCACCTGGGACATCCCAGTAACCTGGCTGCCTCGGCCACCTCTCCCACCAGCTTTTCCTGCTATGGGGCTCCCTCCTTAGTTTCTCCCACCTGCTCGTGCAGGCTGATCAGAGGCAGCTCGGAGCTGCCACTTCCCCAGACTCCCCGAGCTCCCCCCGACTCCCCGAGCTCCCTCAGACGGAGCCATTGCTGTCCAGGGGGCCCCTGAGGACATCATACTACCCATGAGGGGGTTGCATTCAAGAATGAGATGGGCAGAGCCCACCAAGGCCCTGGCATGGGGACATGCATGGGGCTTGCAGACAGATAATCCCCGCTGAAGAACCCAGCTCTGACATGGAGGCTAAGAGATCTTGTGCCAGACCTGGAGACACTCCCCGGCCTCAGTTTCCCCCTCTGCTGCAGTGGAGGATCATGAAGATGAATGAGACACTGGGCTTGAAGCTGTTAGCCCCGGGCCCGAAGGCCTCTCCAGGGCTGGGAATGAGGGATCAGGCTGGAGGGGCACAGGGCACAGGGCGGCGTGCCTGACAGTCAGGAGAGCAGGGGTGGGTGACCTGGCCTGCCGGGTCCTGAGCTCACCTCCCCTTTGGGGGTTGTGACAGCAGTCCGGCGGGGGTCGATGTCCTCATTGATGCTGGACAGGAAGTTCTGGGAGATGCGGAGGGCGTCCTGCAGCAGCGGGTAGTCTGGGTGGTCCACCGGCGTGTGTTTCAGCAGGTCCTGGAGAGGGTGGGGTGGTGAGATGGGGCTTAATTAGAAGACAGTGGGGAGCACTCAATTCTCACTAGAAGAGTTCCAAGGGGGGCACGCAGGGACCCACACTCAGGCCTGCAAAATCTGAACTAAAATTAGGGGCAGCAGCAGGGGTGAAGGCAGTGGTGCATCTTTATTTTGCTGAAGTCGTTACTCTTCGCCCCTGGGGTGTGGGGGAGCCAAGTGATGCCTCATCTCACCCAGCAGCTGGGAGAGACACCCATCTGACCACCCACAGCTGCTCCCAGGACACGGAGACCATCAGCCAAGGGGCAGGGCGGCAGGAAGTGCCTGCCTCCCAGGGTGCATCTGGCCAAATGCCCAGCTGAGTAGCCCCGTTATATGCAGGCCCTGGCCCGGTTGACGTGGTTTCCACAGGCCAGGCAGCCAGCAGGGGTCCAGGGACCCTCCGCCCAGCTTCCCAAATGGGCTGTTCGCAGTGACTCCAGCACCTCCCCCCTGGGCTTGGTCTCCCGTGGGTCCTGACCGGTCCCGGCTGTGCAGGGGCTGAGACTCACGTGCAGGACCAGGGTGCTCCTGGTGACGCGGTCGATGGGCTTGTAGAGCAGAGCTGTCGGGAGGGCAGGGAGGAGACGGGACAGGAAATCAGGAGCAGCTTGAGGCCTCGGGAACCAGTCTTGCTCCCCGACCCGCCTCCCTCCCCTGCATGGACACCCACCCACACTAGTGGGTTCCGCAGCAACCTGCCGCTGCACTCTCACCCCAGGCAGGCCGGCCGCACGGCAGGCGGACACATAGCCCTGGCAGCCGGGCCCCTCCCGGACACATGTCATTTCTTCCAGGACTGTCTCTAGACCTGCCCTGGCCTGACCGGGCTCAGAGTAGATGCAGGTGCTTCTCTGTACGCCCCTCCCCGGATCGCACAACTGCGTCCAGCCTTGCCCTCCAGAGCTCCAGCACACTCGGGGTCACACCTGGGACCCTGGAATGTGGGAAGGAGACACGCTGCTCCTCCAGGGAGGGCAGCTCCCCCCCCCCGGTCCAATCACTCTCAGACTCCTCTGGCCCACGGCCCGGCACCGCCAGCTGGAAATGGCAGGCTCCCTCTGACCCCCCGTCAGCCTCCTCTCTGTGGGGAGACCCATCTCCACGCACTCAAACCCCCAGATGAAACAGGCCGGGTTGAGGGAGGCGGGCCAGCTCCCCACAGAGAGGGTCTGCAAGCGGCCAGTGGCAGCTGAGGGGGCAGAGATGTCCTGAAGGAATGCCAGTGGGGCCGCTGGGAGCTCCGAAGAGACGGAAAAACGCGAGCTCAGCAGGGCCCCGCTTCGCCACACCCCCTGGTGACCAGGACACCAAGTGCGGATGGCTGGGATTCAGCAGAGACAGGTGGACGCGGCAGCTGGCCGACCAGTGCTTCCCAACGGGGCTGCCTGCTGCTCGACCAGCTGTGCCGGCCTCTCCCACACGGGGGTTCGGCCTCAGGCCTGCACCTGGAGGCCTCTGGCCATGGGGTCGTGACCTCTGTCCTCCGGCCAGGGGAGCGATGAGGCAGGATGCCGGTCTGGGGAGGAGGACCCTAGACGGGGTGCCCCAGAGGGCCAGGCTGTGACAGGGCTCAGAGCTGACGCTCAGCCCTCAAACCACCAGAGTCCCCCAAAGCCCGGGATGGAAATGGCCTGTGTGTGGCTAAGCAGACGCTTGGGGAACAGTCTGCCGGCTGTGGGGAGGACGGGCTCAGTGGTGGGTCACGGGCCTTATCTGCAGTCTTTGCTTGGCTGCCCATTCGAATCGCTGGGGAGCTCTTAAAGGACACGGCTGCCAGCCTGCCTCTCCTCACAGCCGCAGCTAAAGCCCAAACTCTGCCGGCTGGAACCTGGGGGCCGGCATTTTTTAAATCCTCACCCGAGGATTTGTTTTTATTGATTTTAGAAAGAGAGGAAAGGAAAGGAAGGGAGGGAGGAAGGGAGGGAACAAAGGAGAGAGGGAGAGATGGGGAAAGAAAGGGAGAGAGAGAGACATTGATCAGTTGCTGTCCTGAACAGGGAATGAACCCACAGCCTGGGTATGTGCCCTGACCGGGAATCGAACCGGCAACCTTTCGGTGTACAGGACGATGCTCCAACCAATGGAGGCACACCAGCCAGGGCTCAGCATTTTTAAAAAGCGCCTTTGCCAATTCCAATAGAGGAATGACTGAAAGCCACTACTTTATGCCACATACTTCCTATGACTCATTTGTAGCCCTTTCTTCATTTAGCAACGTCTAGAACCCCTCCCCATGGGCGATGGGAGCCAGAAGGGACAGGACAGGCTTGGGGTATCCCGGGACATAGGGGGAGAGCCCCATCATCAGCCCAGGGGGGACCCAGTCCTGAGGCTCTTTAGGGAATCCACCTGCGGCTTAGCTCATCCGGAGGGGAAATCACACCCTGAGTGCCCCAGAGACCCCAGAGAAAGTGCGATTTCAGCGGACACCTGCCCGGGCTGGCCTGGCGGTCGTTCAGGGAAAGCTGATAGTGCGGCGTCAGCTCCCTCGGTCCCTCGGTCGGGTCCCGGGAGGTAGAGGTTTCTGACTAAGCTCAGAGGTCTGCACAAATGGTGGGTTGGGTTTCACAGGGGTTATTAATATGCCTGTGGTCACCTCACAAGTCCACCTGGTGGGGGTGTGGAGGGAAGGGCAGCTGGCGGAAGCGAGGGGAGAGGGACGTGCAGGGAGAAGGCCCAGGGGACACAGCCACACGCGGGAGGAACCAGGGGAGGGAGAGCGGCCTGATGTCCATGCTTCCCCGGCTCCCCTACGCCTGCTTCCCCTGAGGACACAGGGCACGGAGCCCACCTTTCCCCCTTTGCCTGTCCCGCCGCCTTCCTGCCCCTGCTTCTCCCGCTCTCCCCGCTCCTCGCCATGCGGTCCTGTTCCCAGAATAGACACCGTTCACGTTGCAACACCTGCCTCTCCCCCTCCTCCAGGGAGCCTTCCCTGACCAGGGCTTTTGCAAACAAAACACACAGTGTCTAAAAGTCAGACCACTGCCACGAGCAAGCTGGCTCCCTCTAGCCTGCAGGGGACTTGGCTCTGCGTCCGATGGCACTGCCTTCTATGCACGCTTTCCTTGGATTAAAAAGGGAAGGAATTATCGCCAGCCCCATCGCACAGATGAGGAAACTTCTCCAAGGCACAGGGAAGTTAGATAACTTGCTCTTGGAAAGCTGCACCCGGAAGGAACGGGCGAGCTGGCCTCTCTTGTTGCCAAGGTGAGCCCCCTCCTTAGGGGCCTGGGCCACACATGACTTCCCTTCACACACCCCCCCCCCACACACACACACAGAATCTAGCACAGAGCCCCAAAGAGCTCAGCAAATAACCCCAAAGGCAGACATCGCCGCCGGAGGGAGCCCCAAGTTGCACAGTCTCCGTGGGACCCCCAGAGCCAGCATCCCCGGGAGGGGCCGAGAAGATTCTGAACAGTGTGCTCAGCAAGGGTGCATTCACTCCTCACTCCCCACAGTGACAACGCTGACTTCAAAGGCAGCATCGCAGGGGCCCGGAGGAACCCTGAAGTGCAGGTCCCAGGCCTGCGTCACTAAGACGAAGCTTCCTTTTGGGGAGGAAAGAGGAAGCCAAGGGCTGACCCCTCCTTTGCAGGGAGGCAGAGCTGAGATCTGACCAACTCCTAGGCCAGATCAAAAGCGCATTTTCCTCTGATCTTCAAACAGGCTAGTTCAAGTCCACGCTCCGCTCAACCCTGGCCTGTCCGAATCCGAGCTAAGGGGCCGGAGCACAGGGCAGCTTCTGCCCAGGGACCAGAATCCCCGAGGAAGCTGCCCAGGGCTGCCTCCATCATGAGCAGTCCTGGACTCAGGCCCCGGGAGAAGGCTAGGCACAGAGGTCTCTGGGAAAGAGCCCAGGACGCCCCATGGTCTCTCCTCCAGCGAACTGTACCTATACCCCCGCCCCCTTCAGCCTTTGACAAGGAGCTCCAGGTTACCACGGAGATGTGAAAGCAAAGTGACTGGGAAGAGTGCAGAGACAAAACGCCCGGTGGGAGGGAAGAGAGAGCCACGCCAACAGCGCGCCCAGCGGTAACACTGGACCCCCGGGCCCCTGCCAAAGGGCAGCCTGGGTCAGACCAAAGGGGACTCTTGCCTCCGAGAACAGGACCCAGCTTCCGCCACCTGCTTGCCTAGCCCCACTTCAGCCTCCTTAGAGCGGAGCCTGGCTGACAGCACGTGCCTGGCCCAGGGTGCCCTGGCTGAAAACACACACACAAAAAAACGGCAAAGAGGATACGTACTCCGATCCCTTCCATTGTAAGGTGAGTGAGCGACCTTCACAAAGCACTCGGCTGCCACGCCCCCTGCCCGCCAGCATTCCCTGCCACTAAGTGCCAAGACCTCAGCCCCAGGTCTCCTGTGGCCAGAAGCCCCCTCCCTCCCCGCTCTCCCCAGTGCAGCGGCTCTCCCACCGCCCTGTTCTGAGGGGAGAGACCATCTCCTCTAGGAGCATGTGCGCTCTGAGCACACAATACCCTGGCCGCTCAGCCTCCTCTCCTCTCCCTGGAAACAAAGAAACTCCCAACTTCTCACTCTCCCAGGGGCTGGCACCCTCCCCGTCCAGGGCACTGCTGTCCAGGCCATCTGTCATTCTCTGACCAGCCGCGAGGACCCTCTCCAGCCCAGGTTGCCACACCCGCGGGCAGTCTTGTCACTTTCTGTCCTCAACAGCCTCTCCAGGAAGTTGCACACAGCCTCTCAAGCTAAGCCACCAATTCCTCACAGATCTTGGGGGTGTGGGTGGGGGGTGGGGGTGGGGTGGTACCTGGACCTTCTAGCCTGGCCCCTCCATTTCTAAACCATCCCTGCCCAGAGTGGCCCCCAGACTTCAATTTCAGGCTGGAAGCTGGCCGGAACGGGGATCCAGCCACTTGCGTCCCCTCCCTTCCCTGCTGCTCCCCAAACCTTGACGGCCACATTGAAGCCCACTCCAGCCAGCCCCCCGAGGCGGGAAGACACAGCACCTCCCATGAGAGGGAGCCTGGGTTACCATAGGTGCAGTTACAGCAGAAGCGGATGATGAGCAGAATTTCCATGGCAGCCTCTGTCCCCACGGCGGGAGCCTGTGGCCATCGCTTCCCAGCTCCCACCAGCAGCCCAGCCACTCAGCCACCTTGCACGCTGCTGCTGCACAGCCTCCGGAATCAAGCAGCCGCTTCAGAGTGCTCCTCTAGCAAGGGGGAGGGAGGAGAGGGGAGGGGAGCGTTCCTAAGGAGGAGCACGTTTGTAGCTGGCTGGCTGCCGGGGACAGAGGCTGATTCCTTGTGTGCGCGCTCACACCCGCTCACACACGCACGTGCACACGCTCACACAAGCAGGGCACCATCGTCCACAAAGCCAGACAAAGGACGGCGACTGTTAACCAGCCTGTCCCCCCACGCACCTTCCATAGTGACCGACGTGTGGCTGTCCTTGGAGTCCTTGGGGCCTTTCACTTTGAGTTCCTGCCAAACAGAGGAGAAGGAATCACTGCTGGCCCATCCCGAGCCTGCCCGCCGCTGTGCGTGAGCATGGCGCGAGAAGGATCCCACACCCGGGGTACAAAGCGTAGGAGACACACAGACCGTAGGAGACACACAGACCGTAGGAGACACACAGACCAACAGGCGAGAGCCTCCCACTGCCTGGCTGTCACCTGGATGCCCTGTGCACACCCACGGTCCCCGGGAGCCTCGTGGAGGCAGCAGCAGGGTGTGGGCAGGGGGGGCGCTAGGTAACAGACTGGATTTCCATAACGGGTGCTCCTCGGACCTGTCCCCAAACCCCGCCCTGCAACGTCCAGAGAATGAGTGGTGGCAGGAGCAGGGCCCCGCCCCAACCCAGCCCACACTTAGGGGTGCACACATCAGCCCAGGGCACACGGGGTTTGTGTGGACAAGCAGCTGGCACACCAGCTGCTCCTGGGGGCATGAGCAGCTCTTGGGAGAAGGAGTGAGGGGTCCCACACATCTGCACAGAACAGGGGGGACACCGGGGCCAAGAGGCTGAGTCCCCCAGGCAGTCCAAGCTCCATCTTACCCTTATGGGGGGACACTCCCCACCCTCTGGAGCCTGTGCTAGGCCTGAGAGAGGAAACTGCAAGGAAGGAGGAGCCAACACCCCCTGGGTCCCCTGCAAAGTGACCGGAGGTGAGGGCTGGAGACAGACTCCCCGGCAGCTTATCGGAGCCAAACCTCTTTATCTGCCCTTAGAGAGGCCCCGTTCCAGCCCTGGCTAAGGGGCCAGTGTGGCCTGTAACTGGAGCCGAAATGCAATCCCCACTTCCAGGGCTGAGTGCACAGAGGGGGGCCTCCAATGGGAGGGTTAGGGGGGGAGGCGGGAGAGAGGTGAGGCCAAGGTCAGGCACCCGGTGATACTGCCCGCTCTGCCTGGGGGAAGGAGATGCCCAGACAGAGGGAGAAGGGGGTACCCCGCTCCTCAAGGCCGTCTCTGGCTTGAGTCTGGATTCCCAGCTTTAGGAATTTTCCTCGGGCCCCCCACTTCAGGGCAGCCCAGAGGTATGAAGCCACTCGCTGCCGTGGAGAGAGAAGGGCCTGATTGCAGTAATTAAGTGTCAGCGCCAGTGTCAGCATGAGCCAGGGTGAGAAGCCACGGACCTGGCTCTGCCCTTGGGCCAGCAGGCTTCGAGAGGGGCCTGCGGGTGAGCACAGGGCTTCTGCCAACCACAGAGGATGGGCAGTCAACCCAGGCTAAGAGGAGGCCCCCTGTGGGCCATATAGGGCTCAGGCACCCAGGTACCCATGGCAGGCCTCTCTGGGGTGCGGGGGGCGGGGGTGGGGGGGGTTGTGTCCAGTTTGTTCCCAGGAAGAACTGGGAGCTGTGAGGGGAAGCACCGTGTCTCCAGCCTCGTGGCTCAGCACAGAGGGACTTCCCTACGCCCCGCTGCGTCTTTTGAGGCTCAGGGTGACTCACCTGACCCCTGGGTTTGGGAGAAGAAACTGAGCTCAGCCCTCCTGCTGCCCCCGGTAGCTGGGTGCAACAAGCCCAAGGTGGCCACCGATCCAAGCGCCCATGTTTCCAATCCGGCTTTTACTGGTGACCAATTTCACATTTTCACCTCCCACCGTCTGACTCTTGTGCTGCCTCTAGGTCAGTTTCAAACTTGTAACCCATAACTCCAGACTTTTCATGAACTATGCTGCGTCTCACCAGCGTTCCTGGCATCAGAGCCGAGACGAGAAAGCAAAGGGTCCCCAGGGGACTGTGAGGCAGGGCCTCCAAACTGCAGACGGAGCGCCCCATCCCTGAGACCCGAGGTCCTCTAGCCCCGAGCTCGGAGCTCGGCCTGCGAGGCCAGCGGCTTGGGGCTGTCACTGACATCTTTCTGGCTAAAAGGGTGAGCTGAGCTGTGCTCCCGAAGGCTCCGAGAGCCACCCTGCCACTTCCTGGAGAGACAGAAATGGCGATGGTGGACTATGCCACATCTTTGCCCCGCGGAGGGGAGGAGCATGGAGGGGAGGCTGAGCTGCAGCAGCAGGGACAGGCGTATGTCCAGCCAGAGCAAGCGTGTTTCAAACACGTGGCCCGCCGCCGGGAGCTCAACATGCTGGAGCTAGAGGATCTGCAACGACTTCTCCACCGACGTGGTCCGTCCTCTCTGTGTGTGGGGCTGCAAGGATCTGAAAAGACCACCTGGCCCGGGCTTCCTCCAATCCTCCTGACACAGAAATCACCCGGAAGCTTATTAAAAAGAGGCTCTTGGGCCCCACCCCAAACCTTCGGATTTGAATTTCCCGGGAAGGTGCCTGTGTCCCTGTGGTTTTTACCAAGCAAGTCTGGCATGAGGTGGAGGAATCCAGACACCTCATTCTATAGGAACAAAGGCAGGGAAGGGACTTGCTCAAGGTCACTGCCGTGTGGGAAATACTGCCTTTTTCCTTTTCCTATTTTTTTGCCTCCTCTGTTCTAACACAGAAAAACCTACAACAGAACGACAAAAAAAAATCAAACAAATTGGTGTTCTTACATGAAGAGGGTAAAGGTCAAGTGCAAGAAAGCAAATGTCAGGCTAAGTGGGACCCATCAGGGGAACCGTTCCC